GGGGGGGGGGGGTCTCACCTGCAGGACGCCCCCCCCCAGCAGAGAGGACAGAGCTGCCACCGTGATGCACGAGGTGCCGTAGGTGAGAGCTGTGGGGAGACGGGAGAGGGTCGGGATGGGGTGGGATGGGAGGGGTGGGATGGGATGGGATGGGATGGAAAAGGATAGGAAGGGAAAGGATGGGACAAGAAACAATGAGGTGGGATGGATGGGAGGGGCTGGAATGTGACAGGATGGGATGGACGGGACAGGATGGGATGGGATGGGATGGGATGGGACAGGATGGGAAGGGAAAGGATGGGAAGGGAAAGGATGGGATAAGAAACGATGAGGTGGGATGGATGGGAGGGGCTGGAATGTGACTGGATGGGATGGGATGGGATGGGATAGCGTGACAGGACCTGGCACAGCACAGCACATGCCAGGCTGGGGTGGCAGGGCCCAGCTGGGGGCACTCACAGAGCCCCTTGGAGATGAGTGTGAGCTTCCTGGGGGACAGCGAGGGCAGCCGCGGCTTCACGAAATCCTCCACGGTGACGGCGGCCATGGCGTTGATGGAGGTGGAGGCCGTGCTGGGGGCGGGGGGCACCACTCAGCCCTGGCCCCCACAAGGGGAACAGGGGGGGCACCCCCTCCCCTGGGTACCCCCGTGCTCACCTGAGGGTCCCGCTGTAGGCGCAGGCCAGGAACAGCCCCGGCACCCCTGGGGTGGTCTCGAAGATGTCCAGGACCAGGTAGGGCATGTACTGCAGGGGGGAGGGGGCTGCAGGACCCCGGGGCAGGACCCCAGGGCATCTGAACACCCTCTCCTACCCCGCTGCCCTCAGGGGGTGCTCAGGGGGGCAGGATCCAAGGGGACCCCAAGACCCCCTCTGACCACCTCACCCTCCCACCTTCCTGCCTGGGGGGGTCCTCGAGGGGCCGGTGTGGGGGGGACCCCAATGCCCCCTTCAACACCCTCGTCCTCCCACCCCGCTGCCCCTGGGGGTCCTGGAGGGGCTGGTACCTGGTCGGGGGCGGCGATGGCGCCGGCCAGGAGGGGGTCACAGTCCTTGTAGAGGGCAAACATGACGAGGCCACAGGCGACCGCGCTGGAGACGATGCAGAACAGCCCCACTTGATTCACCAGCAGCGCCCTGTGAGCACGGGAGGGGGGTGAGGAGGGGGCCCAGCTGGGTGTGGGGGCCGGGCAGGGCTGCAGGGGCTGTGCAGGGGGGCCAGGTTCATGCAGAGTCCATTCAGGGGTGTATAGGGGTTCATATAGGGTGTATATGACCTGTGTAGGGTCTGTGCAGGGCACAGGGTCCATACAGGGGTACAGGTCTCCCTTAGGGGACAAACTCACAGAGCGGGATCCAGGTGATCCCAGCACCCCTGGACTCACATCTTGGCCTCCCTCTCGGTCCTGCAGGCCACGTAGCGCTGCACTTGGGCCTGGTTGACGCCGTACATGGAGAGCCAGACCAGGGTCCCGCCCAGCAGGAAGGTCCACACCGTGTACCGGCTCCGCGGGTCCGGGTTGAAGCTGGGCACGGTGGCATAGTGCCAGGGTGAGGGGTGGGCTGGGCTGGCACCGATTCCCTCCCCAGCACCCCGGGACAAGGGGTGAGTGGGGCTGGTATCGACCCCTAAGCACCGCAGGGCAGGGGGAGCGGGGTCTGCACACCACTGGGGGGACTCACTGACCCCTGAGCAGGGGTCTGCACACCACAGGCTGGGGGGACTCACTCTCCAAAGTTTATCCTGGAGCTGTTGGCAGCGATGCCCAGCACCTTGGCGGGACCCCCCACCAGCAGAGAGCCCCGGACGACGATGGCGATGAAGCCCGAGAGCATGACAAAGACCTGGAAGACGTCGGTCCAGATGACAGCCTTCATCCCACCCTGCGCCAGACGGAGCGGATGGTGACCACCGGGGACCCCCAAACCCACCGGGACACCCCCCCCCAGGGGCTCCCCCACTCACGATGGTGGTGTAGAAGGTGCAGATGACCCCGGTGGAGAGCAGGGAGGCCCAGATGTCCAGCCCGGTCACTGGAGGGGAAGAGACGGCGCTGAGCAAAGCCCCCGGGGTGAAATGTCACCCGCGGTGGGACAGGGCCGGGGTGTCCCCAGCGCAGGGACAGGGACACGCCGGGGAGCAGCCCCACACACACACACCTTGGTTGAGGATCAGGGCGGGGGCATAGATGACGATCCCCGTGTAAAGCATCTGCGGGAAGAAGGGGGGGGTCAGCACCGTGTCCCGCCGGCACCGCGGGCACCGCGCCGGCGGGGACGGGGACAGAGCGTGACGGCGCTGGGAAAACACTGCGGTTTTCACTCCAAACAGGGCTCCCGCCGGGAGCCGCGCGCTCGGAGCCAGGGAAAACACGAGCACGGGACCAAGGACGCTCCCCAGGAGCTCAGGGCCGGGTCCGAGCCCCTCCCCGCGTCCCCACCGTCCCCATCCCAAGCCCGGCACCGCCGGCACGCACCGTGGCCACCACGTACTGCAGGGTCCCGCACAGCCGGACGCTCCTGCTGAAGCGCCGCTCCAGGTACTGCGACAAAAACAAGGACACGGAGCACGTCGGGGCCATCCCGGCAGCGGGGGCCTCCCCAGGGCGGGATCCCCGTGTCCCTCCCGCCACCCCAGCCCCGTGCCCACCTCGTAGGTGCTGGTGAGCCCCAGGCGGTAGAAGACGGGCAGGAAGAGCTGGGCGGTGAGCAGGGTGTTGATGAGCTGTGCCATGCACATCCAGAGGAATTTGGCGCCGTACCGGAACGCCTCCGCCGGCACTCCCAGCACCTGGATGGCCGACATGAAGCTGGCGGAGAGCGAGAGCCCCACGGGCAGCGCCGACATGCGCCGGCCCCCCGTGAAAAAGTCCTCCGAGGTCTTCTGGCCGCCCCTGGCGAGGCCGTGGAAGAGCCCGATGCCCGTGGAGATGAGCAGCATCAGCCCGAAGACTCCGTAGTCCCAGAGGCTGAAGGTGAGACGCTCCGGAGCTCGGATCTCCGGGCTCCCCGTCGGGGCCGGCATGGCCGTGGCAGAGGGGAGAGCCCCAAACTGGGTGACCACAGGAGGACCTGCTGATCCCTAAGCCAGGACACGGTGACACCGCTGGAGGGTGAGAGAATTCCTTGGAATTATTGCTCAACACCTCGTGCGGGAAGGAGGGAGCGCGGATTGGTGAGCGGGGCTGTGCCCTGCCCTTTCCCCTTCACACCCATCCCTGGCCAGGTCTGTGCCAAGGGCTGCGAAGGGCAGAGGTGCACGAGGGACAACCCGAATTTGGCGTGGGAATTACCCTGATATCTCCCGCTCTGGAGCCAAGAGAGGCAGCGCCTGGTCCAGCTGCTCCGGGGAAGCGTCGGCACCCGAAGGACACGTCCGGGAGGGAGGGAAGGAGGGGAGGGAGCGACCCCTCCCCAGCCAGCCCAAATAAGGAGGGGCAGAGCCTCCGGCAGAGCCAAATTTATCTCCAGCCGAGGGAGGGGGGGGAAAAACAAACCCAAAGGAAACCTTTACCCAGAAAAAAAGCAGGTTGTTTGCAGGCAGCTGCCTGCGGAGCGGGACGGACCGGCTGCCGAGGCTGAGGAGCGGAGCGGGGGCTGCCCAGGGGTCCCTGGGGGGCCTGGCAGGTCCCAGAGGCTGCTGCGACGTCCTCGGAGGGCGAGGGGAGGCCGTGCCTCGAGCTGCTCCAGCCCGTGGGGCGGGGGGACGGCGGGAGGCAGGTTCAGGCCGTCGGGGAGGGACCCTCAGTGGGGAGGACGGAGCCGTTGGGGGCCGTGGCCATAACCCCTTCCCTGCCGTGCCCCCGGCTCCGCTCATGGCCCCGGCGGTGCCGCCACATCCGGACCCCGGAGGGAGCCGGGCACTGACCCCCGGGAGCATGGGGACAGCTCTGGCTCTGGGATTTGACGTGGCACCGGGCGTGGGGCTGGCCCGGCTTCCTCATTCCCTGGCACAAACACCGCTTTGTCCCGCCTGGCCCTCGGACAGGTTTGGGGATTTCCACCTCTCTGCCCTAAGCCTCGGGGTCGAGATCAGATTTGGGGCTGATTTGACACATCAGAGCCCTGATGTGGGGACGGAGCTGATGCAGGGGCACAGACTCCTCTGGTGGGGTCACCATGGAGGCACGGTCCCCTCCAAGGTGTCACCATTGGGGCACTGTCCCCTCTGAGGCATCACTGAAAGGCCACCATCCCCTCCAAAGCATCACCACAAGGGCACTGTCACCTCTGAGGCACCACCAGGAGGTCACTGTCCCCTCCAAAGCATCATCGTGGGGGTATTGTCCCCTCTGACGTGTCACCACAGGGGCACTGTCACCTCCAAGGTGTCACCACGGGGTCACTGTCACTTCCAAGGTGTCACCAGAGGGGGGCCATCCCCTCCTTGGGGCAGAGGAGGGGCCCTGGGCCCTGCCTCCAGCCCTGGTGGCACTGTCCCCATCACCTGTCCCCGGGGGCCAGGGCGGGGCAGGACCCCTTCCCCGCCTCGCCCCGGCGGAGCTTCCTCCCCGAGCTCGTTGGAGCAGCTCCAGGGGAAAAACGCCAAGGTTTGGCCACATCCTGCAGCAGGTACGTGTGACACCACACGGCACCGGGCCTGGCACACGCCCAGCACCTCCGTGGCACCCAGGGCACGACCGGGGAGAGGGGACAGAGCCGTCACTGGGGCACTGAGGGTCCCAGCAAGGGGGTGCAGGACGGGGGCAGGCAGCACCCAGGCCCTCGCCCTGGGAAGGGATGTCCTGGTAGAGCATCACCCACCCCTGCGGTACCCACGGCACCGGGACAGGGGTCTATTGGGGTGCCCGGGGCGTGCCCAGGCTCCCTGCCCATCACTCCACCCCATCCCTGCACCCTGGGGTGTCTCCCCTGGTCCCCCCTCCCCTGCCAGGAAGCCACGTGCCGGGGAGGCCTCGGGCAGGAAGGAAGTCGCCCAGGGGGGACTTTTTGTCTCTCTCCTTCGCTCGCAGCCACCTACGCACCCCCAGAGCCCCGGTCTGGCAGCACACCCTGCCCGGGACCCCCTCCCCGGCACGGCAGAGGTACCACACGGGCACGGGGGGCTCCGGGGGATGGAGCCGAGCCCTCCCTGCGCGATGGGGCAGAGCAGGAGCGGCCGTGGGATGGGGTGGGAGGGGGGTTATCCCACCTCGGGACTCAGTTTCCCCTTCATCCCTCCCAGGAGGGGCCGATCCCAGCCCCGGGGGTGCCGCGGGTTCGGTCACGGGGGTTTAACCCCGGGGGAGGATGATGAGGGAAAGGCAGGGAAGGGGAGCCATGGGGGGTCAGGGGGTGACTCTGAGCCCCCCTTTTCCCCCGCAGCGCCCGCCATGGCCCCGCTGGGTGAGGACACGCCGCTGATCGGGGGCCGCTCCTGCAGCCTCTCCTCGGCCGAGCCCGGCAAGACGGGCACCCTGAGGGTGCTCCTGTACCCCCGGGCACCCGCCCCGCGCAGCCCCCCCGGCGCCCTCACCTTCAGCAGCGGCGAGTTCACGGCCGAGGAGCTCTGTGTGCGCGCGGCCAAGGCCTGTGGTGAGCCCGGGGTGCCAACCGTGGGGCTGGGCAGCAGCTCAGGGTGCCAACCGTGGGGCTGGGCAGCCGGCCATGGGCACGGGATCCTGGCTGTGGGCTCAGGGTACTGGCCATGGGCTCTGCTTTGGGGCTGTGGGCTCAGGGCATTGGCCGTGGGATGGTGGTCCCAGCCCTGGGCTCGTGGCCCCGTGCCCGTCCTGGCTGGGGGTCCCAGCCCCTCCCTCCGCCCCCCAGGCGTGCTGCCCGTGTGCCACCCGCTCTTCGCCCTGGCCACGGAGGATCTGAGCTGCTGGTTCCCCCCCAACCACCTCTTCACCGTGGACGAGTCCAGCAGCCAGGTCGTGGTGTACAGGATCAGGTACAGCCCCAGCACGGCCCCCCCGGGACCCTCTGGTGGGTTGTGTGCTCTGGGGGATGCAGCCCTGAGACCCCCCCGCCGGCCCCATCAGGTTCTTCTTCCCCAACTGGTGTGGACTGGGACAGTCTCACCGCTTCCAGCTGCTCAATGACCGGGCCAGCCCCGTCCTGGACTACCCTGTCATCGATTACCTGTTTGCCCAGGTGAGCCCTGCCAGGTGGCACCTCTGTCCCCGACTCCTGGCACCGCAGGTGGGGTCCCGTGTGGCTTCTCGGGTGTGTGGTACGTGTTGACCTCAGTGCAGTGATGCCTTCATCACCCTGGGCTGTGCCACTCTCCTCCTCCTCCTCCAGCATCCACAGGTCCCTACAGGATGTGGATCCTCTTACCTGGCTCACCTGGAGCTGCTCGTGGGGCACCCCAGGTTGTTGACATGGGGGTCACTGTGTCCCCCGGGTGGTCCCTGCCCCAGGGACAGAGCCGGGGAAGCAGCAGGAAACCAGAGCCCAGGGCGGGATGTGACCCACACGGGCACTGGGACAGGGGGACAGTTTGTGCCACAGACTGGGGGTCCTGTGGTGCCTCACGGCAGGAGGTGGGAGAACCTTCCCAAACCCTCGTGTTCCCCCTCAGTCCCGCAGTGACTTTGTCGAGGGCCGCGTGGCCGTGGGGCTGAGCCTGCCCACGCAGGAGGAGTGCCTGGGCCTGGCCCTGCTGGACATGCTGCGCATCGCCAAGGAGGAGAGGCAGAGCCCCGACCAGGTCTGCAGCCACGTCAGGTGAGCTGGGGGCACAGTGGGGCACTCACGGGACAACCTGGCACCTCTGGGTACTGTGACACCCATGGAGACAGCCTGGCATCCATTGGGACAGCCCAACACCCACGGGGAACACCTGGCATCCCTGGGGAACACCTGGCATCCCTGGGGACACCCCCTCACTCACCTGTGCCTCCCGTCCCCCGGCAGCTACAAGTCCTGCATCCCGGAGCCGCTGCGGAGCCAGATCCAGCAGCACAACTTCCTCACCCGCAAGCGCATCCGGCGCCGCTTCAGCAAATCCCTGCGGAAGCTCGGGGGCTGCCAGACCGACGGGCCCCACCTGAAGCTCAAGTACCTGCTGGACCTGGAGCGGCTGCAGCGCCGCCGGGCCGAGGAGACTTTCCGCGTCCGCTCCCCCGGGTCCCCCGCGGGCATCACCATCCACGTGGCCGGGGAGAGCGGCGTGTCCTGGAGCTGCGGCGGCTCCGAGGTGCCGGGGTGGAACGGGGGGGGGGGCTTGGGGGGGGGGCCCCGGGGGGGGGGGGGGGGGGGGGGGCGCGGCTGTCACGCCGTTTTGTCACCCCGCAGAACCGCCAGCACTTCTGCGACTTCCCCGACATCGCCGACATCAGCATCAAGCAGGCGGGCGGGGAGGGCGGCCCCGCGGAGGCTCGGCTCGTCACCCTCACCAAGGCGGACAACCGCGTGCTGGTGAGCCCCGGGGGTGGGCGGGGGAGCCCCCCGGGAGGCTGGGGGGGATGTGGAGCTGATTCCCCCCCCTCCCCACCCTGCCCCAGGAGGTGGAGTTCCCCACGCTGCGGGAGGCCCGTTCCTTCGTGGCTCTCATCGACGGCTACTACCGGCTGACGGCGGACGCCCAGCATTACTTCTGCAAGGAGGTGGCACCCCCCCGGCTCCTGGAGGACGTGGAGAACCAGTGCCACGGGCCCAT